GATTCTCCCGCTTTGGACCACCGTTTTTTGAAAATTCAAAATTCAAAATTCAAAATTCAAATATTTTGGGTTGGCGCTGGTTTTCCGAGACGATTTCCCCGCCGAAAAGCGACTGGGCTGTTCAAATTCCAGGAAATGATCGCATGTGCTTCCCGCCCCTGATGGTCCCCACAGGATCGGGAATCGGAGGACTCCTTGATGGGTAATAACCCAAGGATACCACCCGGTTGGTTCACCGAACAGCACGCGTCTTTTTCAGCCCGAGTTATTTGACCGGTTGGATGAGGAGACCAGATGCCAATACCCGAAGATTTACTTTCAAAGTGCACCTGGTGGGCCGGTCAGCCGCCTGACCGGTTGGATAATCAGAGACGTGCTTGACGTGCTTAGGATTATTATAAATACCCTTAAAAGCCTCATTTGTGAGGCATGTTTTAATTAACCTACACGGCTTGTATTTGTAATAACATCTATTATCATTAATAACAAATCGGGTTACAGGTGATTCCACCTACAACCCTTCCGATTACTCACACTTAATATTTGCGTGGTAATTTACACCATCACCCCCAAAGAGTTCATTTAGTTTGAGTTTTTAGACTTTTTGTTTTATGACAAAAGCTTTTAGAGTTGAAATAAAAATAATTTGTTAAAAATATAATTATATTTAAATGAAACGGAGTACTAAAAATTCAAATATCTTTACACAAACATATAATCTAATTTGTATTTAATTAATAATCAAATATTTAATCTAAAATCTAAACACTCTTTAAAATAAAAATATACTTTTTCGATTCTAAAATCAAGAGATGAAATATAGATTTTCTCTAATAACTAATCTTCTATTTTTTGCACTAGATCCAATTTTTTTTAATGATATTTATATTCAGATCCAATTTGGCGTTTAAATTAAAATAGGCCCCACAGACTATCACCTTCATGGTGTCGAGACTCGAGATTCACAACCAGAGTCATATTTCTTCCTTCCAGTAATTCGATCGCCATTCACCCTTCTTCCACCACATCCTGGTACGATCACACCTTCGTTCTCGCCCGCTCGAACTTCTTCCATCTTCATCAAATATTCCTCAAGCGGAAATCAGGTTTTGTTTGAAATGGCCATAGACGGAGCACATTTTTTGATGTTTTTTTGTTTGAATTCAATCAGTTGATGAATTGTTAGATCTGTTTCCGGAAAATTGTGACCTGAAACGCAGACCTACAGATCTGTACGCGACATTACTATGCAGATCTTAATTCTACTGCTCAGATAAGTTATTGTCTGTTTGCATGTTCTTCAGGCACTCTCGGCCGGTAAATCAGTGAAGGAAACTGGCATTGTTGTATACTTGAGATAGATCGACCGCCCATTTCAAAGATCGACGGTTCAAGATGGTGATTTTTCTTTTTTTTTTTTGTTCTCTCATTTGCTCTTATGTAAACGACACTGATTGTGAATGCCCATTTACTGGATTTAGCGATTTTGTTTTGCTGGATTTCTTTTTGTAGCTTTTGATTATGAGTTGTTTCTTGATTTTGTTATGTAGGTTGTCCTTGCAGCGTCTATAATTACCAAATCCGGGAAAGGTAGTTTCCTTTGTTCTTATAACTTCAATGATCTATCACATTCCCTAGCCCTGCTGATTGAATTTATTTTCTAATATATAGCTTGAGAATGAATAATTAGGACTGCTACAATACTGTTTTTGAATAAGGCCTAAGGTTGTTTATACTTGGAATTGATTTTATTGATATTATTTTATTAATACTTATAAAGAGATCCTTTTAGCCCCATACAGAGAGAGCGAGTGAGGGAGAAAAGAGGCGAGGACAGTCAACAAATTGGATAGAGGTGAAAAAGTGAAAAGTAGGAAGGAATTTATTGGCTAAAAATCATGATAAAATTGGAATGACAATTATGTCTGTTTAATAATGACTTACTGAGTGTATAGCGGTAGGAGGGTAGCCATGATTGAAAAATGTTTTTCAGCCACAGAACAAGATAAGGATAATTTGTTGGTGGGTAAACATGTTTACTACTTCAATATTGCAACATTGACCATATTGTCAAATGCTCTTGCAGTGCTTGTTTCAAGGCAGTTTGTTGACATGTCTCGAATAAGAATTGAGGGATACCTTTCTGCTTTCCCCAAATTAGTTGGAACAGGAAAACAACACACATATGTTGAGACTGAAAATGTGCGCTATGTTTATCAGACGATGGAGGCTTTGTATTTGCTGCTTGTGACTAACAAACAGAGCAACATTCTAGATGACTTGGACACCCTCAGACTGCTCTCCAAACTTGTATCCTCTTCTTTGTTAATTTGTGTTATTACCACATTAGTTTTGCTCTTCTATTTCTTTTATATGTTTTTCTTAACGCTGAAAACTCAACAGGTG